TGATCATTTAATATATTTAAGTATATATCTACAATTTAATCCTTTCACCCTTTTTTCTTTTTTTTTTATATTTTTTATTATTTATTAATAATATATTATTTGACCTTCAAATATCAATGATTAAGATCCGTCATCGAACATCTCAATTTGAAAAGATAAAGTGAAACTAATCTTGAAATATATTATACCTTATGATAGAAAATTTATTTAGTGATAATTTAGTGAAAAAATGAATTTACAATTATTGTATCATACTACCTCGTGTTAACCTCACCCCCACATACCATCAAACACATTAATAGATTAGTGCCTCGTCATTTGGTCTATTTTAATAATGGAGAATATAAACCTTATTCATGTGACATATATATTCATTCAGTTTTAAGTTTTTTCTTTGTTTTTTTCTCTTTTTTTACATATTCTCTTGGGTCACATCTTCTCATGTTTTCTTCTTTTGGACTCTATTTGTCAGATTAGTACAACATAATAAGTTATATCATTTTATACGATAAAACTTTTTCTCACATGACATGGTACTGCAGGGTTTGTATGAGTAGCGTGGAAATGGAATCTTTCAAAAAGAAACGAAGGGATCTATGAAAAAGACTTACATATAAGTTAAATGGAAGTGATTCTAATGACAAAAAAGAAAATGAAGAAGACAAACTTTTTAAAGTGACTTTCATGTTTAAATCCTCTCTAGTACCTAAAACTTTCACCAAAGGATTCGATAGAAAGGGTAACTATTTGTACGTCACTCAACATTAAGTTAAAAGGAAATTATTGAGACTAATAATTTATATATTGTCCACTATAATAATAATAAACCTTATTATACGATAATTAATAATATATATATATAAAAGAATTATTTGTAATGATATTATTATAAATGAATTATGAATCAATTATAAAATTATTTTTAATCCAAAAATTTTAAACATTAGATTATAAATTTTTCTTCTTTATTTAAATTTTCTGTTTCTACTCAATGTTAACTTCAACTTCACACTAATTCTCAACCATTTATTAGAGTTTATTTAGATAACTTGGATATCATGCAACCCTTGTAAAAAGATCTTAATCTAAAGATTCTAAACACGTAAAAACTATCAACTCTCCATTAGATAGCTTAGATCTCAAAAAAGATAAATAAGTTCTTAAAATTTTAGACAAAAAAAATAATATTATATAAAATATAGTGTTTTTCGTAAAACAAAAAGTTTACACTAAAAATTATAATCACTAAAAATTAACTCTTTATTAAGTCTTGAAGATAAGCTTGGATTTTAAAATTGATAAATAAAAGTCTCGAATTTTCAAAGAAAAATAATATATTTTATAATTTTAGAAACATAAGATTTTTTTTATAAAACAAAAAGAAAAAAAGAACCTATTCTAAAATTTATAATTAGTAAAAACGATTAACACTTAAGGTGAATTTGGATCTTAAAAATATAATCAAAGTATTCGAGTTTCTAAAAAAAATAATAGATTTTATAACTTTATAAAGATAATATTTTTTTTTATAAAACAAAAAGAGAACACAGAACTTACTCTAAAAATTCTATCTCAATATAAATATCAATCAATTCTATGTTAAATCCTCATAATAAGTTTCACCTTGAAATGATAAACAAAATTCTCAAACTTTTAAAGAGAAATAATAGATTTTATAAGTTTAAAGATATAATAATTTTATCATACAAAAATTGAATAACTAATTTTTATATTCATATTTTTTTTAATTTATAAAAGTTTAATTCTTCATTTAATTAAATTAAAAATTAGGTACTTAAAAAAAAATCTCATATGCATGGTATTAGCACGTGTACAATGATATGCTAGAAAGTGTGTTATTTATATATTATATTAGAGGTGATAAAACGGGTTAATCCATCCCGTTTTGATCTATCCGCCTTTGACTCGTTAAAAGCAGAGCAGGTGGGTTAGCCCGTTATAGTCATGATGGACTACAGATCTTGGTCTCGCCTCGTCAAAGGGCGAGTTAGCTGGCTGATCCGCTATATATTTATTTAAAAAAAATTATTTTTTTAAATCAAATTTTTTAATAAATTCAATAATAAAATTATCTTTTGGTTGTCAACAATTCAATATATATATATATATATATATATATATATATATTTCAAATTAATAATATAAATTGATATATTATTTTAATAAATTATATTTTAGAATAATCAAATTAAGATAAAATTTATATAACAATAAATAATAATAAAATCATATACATAACATTCATTATTTTTTCTTACTCAAAGATTTCAACAAAAGTACAAACAGAAAAACATAATAATAAGTGAGTCGTGAAAGAGAAAAATATTAAGAAAAAAAATGAAACCTTAAAAGTAACAAATATAGAGGAGAGAAAAAAAATATGAGGTATATATGATTTTTACATTGCAGGAAGATGAAAAAAATGAGCAAAAAGGAGATGAATAAGAAGAGAGAAGAGAATAGGTTTATACTTAAAGAAAAGAAAATGTTTGCAGAAATATATAAGTGAAATGAGACTTTTTGAATTCTATGAAAAAATGAGACTTTTTAAATTATCTTAGTGACATAATTAGACCTTTAGAGTTTTCTTTCTAATAATCTGACTTTAAATAAACCAGAACAAAACTAAAAAATTGGGAGAAAATCAAAAAAATTATAGGAGTTTTTGGTTGAATTGATTTTCGAAAAAAAAATTTAAGATCAAAGCTTTTAATATAATATTTTTATAAAAGCTATAATATTTTTTTTATTAATTATATCAATTTTAAATAATAATTATTTTATTATATTTTTAGCTTATTTTTAATAATTATTTATTTTATATTTTTTTAATATATTTTTTATTTATAATTTTCTTTATAACATAATAATAATAATAATAATTATTATTATTTTAATTATTAGTACTAACAAATTTATTATATATTTATCATATTATAAAAATATTATTTTATTAAATATAATTGGATGGCAACTGAATTCCGAACCTTTAAACTCTGAATATATATTTTACTGATTTAGTGGACCGAACTGATTTTAGAAAGATCGGTAGAGATGATGCTAAAATTAGAGATTAAAGAGACTCTTGGTAATCGGTTAAAAAAAAAATCAACAACAAAAAAAAAAATCAAACATGCGTTGTTATTATTATTATTATTATTATTAGTTAAATTTATTTTTTTTATAACCATATATTTTGGTACTTTTAATTTTTATAATTTGTGAATTTTGTCTTTCTTTATAGAAATTTAAACAAATTAAACTTCATAAATACGACTAAAACTCTTCTATACGTATGACAAACGATAATATATTTTTAATGATGTAATTGTAATTTTAATTATTATATTTATAAAATATACCATTTTGATTCTTAATTTTCTCCATTGTTGTATATTTTTAATTATTCATAATTTTAGTTCTGGGTTTTTTTATATGATTTTGGTCCTTATATTTTATTCAAATTTAATTTTAAAAATTATATTGAATCACCTTCAAATTATATATTTAACAACAAGTTAACGTAGTTAATGCTTTCTTCAATGCTATAAAAATATCATCATATCAAACTATAAATATAATTAAAAAATTTATTATATATAATTAAAACTTAAGAGATCAAAATTGTAAAAAAGTTCAAAGACTATAATAATGAATAGTTATAAATTAAAAGAATGTATATATATACTACAAATTTTGTAAATTTTAAAGACTAAAAATACAATTTAAAATTTTTAATTAAACATGTCTTGTTATTAACTAAAGAATTGTAATATTCAAAAGGTAATCAATCAATGGACAAAACAAAAATCAACACATCATGTTCAATAAAGGGGAACCACTTGGTGAGGGAATTCCAAAAACAGAAACCTTGAGATGTCGAATTTCCATTAATAAACCAAACAAGGGGAAGACAATTGTTACCGTTGAACATGTGAACGCAATCAAGTGAAAGGTAGGGTTCGTAATGAAGGGTTACAAAATATTTTTTCCATTTAGTTAATTTACTATTAAAAATCGGATTTCTTAACTACAAACTTATTAAGAAAAAGTTGATATAATTAACAAATGAATAAATAAGGATTGACAAAAATTAAATAGAATTTGAGGATGTAAATGTAAAATGCTTGATATAATGTGGGTGTTAATAAGAGAGTATATTGAGAGAGATCTTTGCTTTTGCAAAAAGTAACTAATTATGTTTAATATATGCAAAATTAATAAATAATAAAATATATGATTATATTCTTTAATTTAAAGGTTAAAACTTTCATATGTAATTTGATCCCTGTTAAATCACCTTCATATTAACATGAACATAGGGGAAAAAAATGGAAAACTTTAACATTATTAGATCCTTCTTGGGAGTTTTAAAGCAGTTCAATCTTTACATGTAAACTTCATTATATTAGCTTTCAAGTTAAAGAAAAGAAAACTTTACATTAAAAAAAAAAGGAGGAATTTTTTTTTTGGAGTTTAAAATTATTTATAATATGTTTCAAGCTAAAGAGACAACATGAAATCACTATTGCTTGAAGTAACTGCCAAATCACGAACAATAATTATTATCATTATTTCCCACATTAGTTTGTCTTTCATGAGAAACAAACACAAGAGCAACATACACAATTTAGGGCACAACACTAACATATCAAAACAATTTATGATGTATAGTCATGTCGTTTTTAATCAAAATTTAATGTAAATTGGTCTCTAATTAAAAATATTTTTTTTAATTCATCAAATTTAAAATATACATTTAAAGTTTCTAATAAAATGTGAAAGTGGATGCATGCCAAATATTATTATTATTACTATACAATGTTATCTAATTTCTGAAACTAAAAATATGTTAAAATTTGAGGAACTATAAAACATTTTTTTTGTTTATAAAATCAAATTGACTTCAAATTCCAAACACTATATAAATAAACCCAAATTAACAATACAAAATAATAAGAATGAACCATTTTGTTTATTTATATATCCCTATCGACGAGCATGTTAACAATGGAAAGTGATATAGCTGAAAGCTGAAAGGTATCCTTGTTTCTTTTTGTGAGTGGAGAAACAGCATCATTGTTCTTCTGCTTGAATCCATCTTCACATGTGGTGGAGGCATCAATGACTGAGCTTAGCTTCACATTGCAATTTGCATAGCGTTTGGCCCTGTAATCTCTAATGGCTTCTCTGAAAGTGGGAATGGTGTCAGAATAGACTTCAAGACAATCATCTAAGCATTCTTTGATAAATGGGTCTAAGCTCTTGTTTTTCTCCAAAAGATCATTGATGCGAGCTTTGGTATCTGTCACGTTGTGCCTTGTTATCTGGATGGAGATTAGACCTAGTTCTTGGAGGCTTTTGGCATGTTGGCTCCTACGGTTGGATTTGAAAGATTCTACACAGAATTTGTAGCTTATGTTGGGGTCGGTTTTTGAGCAATTCTTGCATGTTTGTTGGGTGAGAAGGTTGGTAAAACCTAGAGAGTTGAGAGAACAAAAGAGGATTGTGAGAGTGAACAAAAGGGAAGAAGAGGGAAGCTTCATGTTCTTTGTGTTTGAGATTCTTTTTTATGGACTTCTTTTTAGGGTTACAATGTTGCATGCATGGTGATTTATAGATGGGAATCTTGAATGTGTAGTGGTTGAGAAAATGTTCTTTCTTGATTTGTATACATGGTGGAGAAAGAATGCTTACATGGGAATAATTTTTTTTTATCTTCTAAACAAGAAAAGATTAGAAGCTAAGTTAATTTCGTATGATTAAAGGTTGAGTAATTATGGCAAAAAAAAAAAAAAGACTTTTTCTTTGTTTACGTGTTGATTTTGGGTGGATTAATCCTAGGTCAAAATATTGATGTGGAAATAGCTACTCAAAGTTTTCTCAATTATCTTGCCTTAATGTGGTAACAAAAAATATATTATAAATATTAATTATTATTATTATTATTATTATTATTATTATATATTGTTTTAAATTTTTGTTGTTTGTATAATTTTAATTAATTTTATAATTGTAATTATTATAATAATAATAATAAAACTTTGTTATTCTCAATATTTTTTCGTTAGTTTGAGAATGACAGAAAATGAATTATAACACTTTATTTCATTCAATTTTTATGTACGCTATTAAAAAAATTAATAATTTCCATTTAAACTCTTAAAATGTTTATAATTTATATGAAATTTAGAAAGAAAAAAAGAGAGTTAATAATAGAACAAGCAGAGTTTAATATTGCTTACTCTAAATTGGGTCAAACTTATAATACAAATTAGGCCCGGAAATTACAGCATTGGGCTTGGTACCTTCTCTTTTATTTTTGCTTTTAGGACCACCATATTTTCCTTCTGCTCCTCCATTGTAATAATAGTTATTGACCTTCTAAAATAATTACACTTCTCACAACAAAATACTATTCAGAATTTCATTAAAAAAAATTCCAAATTGAAAAACATATATTTTAGAATATATTCTGAAATGTAAGATCTGTAATTTAATTTAATTATCCTATGATTTTGAAATACTTTATAGTAAATGTAAAATCTATAACTAACTTTAATTATCCTAATATACTTTATAAGATTATGCCACAAAATTATTATTCAGAAATATGTAATTTTCTAGAATATTTTTAAACAAAGACGTTCAATATATTTCGGGACAGTATTTTCCATAAAATATGAAAAAAAAATGTCATTACACATGAAAAATGTAGAAAAAAACTAGGGTGGTGCAAAAAGCAGAAACTTCTGCATTTTCGTTATTGTGAACTTTTTTCTTTATCAATCCAACAAAAGGTTTTTTACACTTTCTTCTATTTATTTATGAAGTTTAATTTGGTCAAGCTCAAATAATTATAATTATATATATATATATATATATATATATATATTTTACATTTTAAAAAGTAAAAAAAAATACAAATAATTAAAATTTAAGAGACGTGAAAAAGGGAATTCGGATCATATAGATTTTGTAAAATGTAGGAACTAAAATTAAAATTAAATTTGAAGAAATATGTGAAAATTATAAAAGAAATTTAAATAATTATACTTTCTCCATAAATATGTCACTACTTTTATTTATTATAAATATTTTTTATATATATAATTTCATTGAAAACTAAAAACAAAGCAAAATGATTTTATAAAACCTAACAACAAAATACAACTTTTTTATATATTCAGGAATTAAATCAATTTTTTATTTTATTTCACTGACTAAATTGAGAACACTTCAGACATTCAAAAATTAAGTTGATGATTTTCTCGAAATTAAAACTGCGAGTATTTGAGATTTTTTGTGTGGTAATAACACTGATGAGTAAAACTTAAAAGAAAAGAAAATTAAAATAAAACTATAGAATTTGAACTTCTTTTTGAATAAGAAAAGATGAAAGGAAATGGATAAGTAGAACGACACCAAAGTTAAACCCCGAGACAAAAACCCTTCTTCTTCACAACAACCTAAGCACTCCCTCAAAATCGTCAATGGCGAGGCTTAGAACGGCCATTGATTCGGCGTTCTGGGACCTCAACGTGGCCTCGCCTCAGTGCCATGACGGCTGGGCCAAGTTCGTTCCCGGCGACCCTTTCCCGGTGGAAGCCTCCATCGCCAGCAAAGTGCTCCGCCCCCAGCAATTCTCCTTCCTCCGAGACGGTTTCCCTCTTCCCATCGTCGCTCCCTCGCTGTCTCCCACTTCCCCCAAGGATTTGGGTTCCCTCGCTCTTCAGACCCTCCTCCTCAAACTCTCTTCCTCTCGCTGGTACCAAACCTTTCACTCACTCACTCACACACTACTTGCTTTCGCTACCCTTTTGTTTTCTCTTGTGATTGTGACTGTTTTTGTGATTTGGTTGATGTTGATGGTAAATGGGGTCTCCAGCATTTGAGAATTGGGAGTTCCGATATTTATTTTGTTTTAAAGAAAATAACTTTTTTTTTTTCAATTTTAAGAACATACTAGCAACCACCCTTTTAACTAGCATTTCTTTTTTAATATACTTTTTACTATAGAGAGAAATTATATGTTTCGATGAACATCTCTTTCAAATACCTAAAACAAAAGCAAAATTATAAAATAAACTAGTTTGTAGTAACTATTTTTATAAAATTTCCAAACTTTTATTTTTAATTAATTCATAAGTTAATTTTCCTGTTCATTTTAATTTCTAGTCATCTTTTAACAAATGCCCCTCCTCGTTTGATGCGATTTGTAGTTTTTAATAAATTTAAATGGATAGCAGAGTGTGTTAGTGAGTCTGATATTAATACTTTTCTTTCTGTAAAGAATTTATGTTTAGATTAGAATACATTTTTTTCTTGTATGAGGCGAAAGAGTATTCGCCGGTATACTCCATTGGAAGTAATCCTACGTGAATCAGATAGGACTTTTGTCAGTTACAAAGCTTTGTCTGAGTATTTAAGCTGTGGAATAATCCTGGATCAATTCAATTTTTTTGAACAGTTTTTTTTTTTGAAGGAAATATTCTGTATAATTCCAGGTGTTTTATTGTGTTGTTTTAGAGGAGTTTTTTGTTTAATATTATTATTATTATTATTATTATTATTAGAAGAACACATGTTTGAAAATTTAGGAAAATAATGTCACTGACACTCCAACACTACTCACATCCTTGAGGAATAAAAAATGGGAAATGCCCTCTTAATGAATGATGTAAAGAAAGGACTAAGATTGACGCTATTCTAATTCGTAGACAAAGAGATTTATGATGAAAATGATCTATAATATTTTTTAATAATGTCCAAGAAGCATGTTCTTATTTTGGATTTATAGCATTGTAATTATAGATTCCACCTAATATTCAAGGGAGTGCTTTGAGTCATTATCTACATTCCAAAGTGTGAAACCTGACTTAGTATTTGACTTTTATGCCTACCCTTGTGTTTCAAAGAATAATGAGTGTTATGAGAACCAATGACAATAAAAACCTTAGCCATAGTTCTTTGTTAGTAGAAATATGTTCAGAGGCACAAATGACAGCCAAAACTTTTACATTATGAACTGATTACATTTTTATATGCAACATTTAAAATTTTCAACTTTTCAATCTACTTATATACCTCAATTATGACCAATACAGGTGGCTTACAATGACCGGACAGTTTCGTCCCAGGAAGCTGATTGCTAATGTGAAAAATGAGATCTCTAATGCTGAAGAGTTTGATCTCTCCACGGTCAAGGATGTTGTAAAGCATTTCATTGACAAGTCACCTTTCTCATTTGGGTTAATGTCACAGTTTGCTTTTCCTCCTTCAACATCCGTGTTGCTTGGCATAGAGGGCCATGGTGAGAAACAAAGATTGCGCCCCAAAGTGATGGTTTATCACAAGGCATGGATTTATCTGCTTGTTATAATTTTATTTTATTTTTCTGGTGGGAAAACATTTTCCTGCTTGAATCAAGATTGAGATTACAGCTTTTGCTCACAATTTTTGTTTTTATTGTCAGTTTGTTTTCAATTGTTTCCTGTTTTCAAATATTTTAAGAGGAAATGAAGTTATTTTCATCATTTCTTGTACAAATATTTGAAAACACAAAACAAAATATAACCAAAGTAGCATTTTTATAACTATCAATAAAAACAAAACGAGAACAGAAAACATTCTATCAAAACCAACATTTTTATTTGGGAAAATGATTCATGAACACCTCAAATGTTGGGTGGCACCCATATGAAACCTAGTAAGAGAAGAAAAATATAGATATTATAGATGATATGATGTGATAGATAGAGAGATAGAAAGAAATTGTATATGTTGTTTAGGTGTTTAAAAATAAAGGTTGTCCATGAATCATCACCCTTTTATTTGACCTCCTTCATTTACATATATATATATATATATATGCATTTTCCTCATCTCAATGTTGCTTTGTTGGCGCGTGCCATGCTTTTCGTTTGTCTATGATGAAACATCTGAAAGACAATATTCCTTGCAGCTTCCTGATCATGATCTTACATTGGAAGCAGCATGGCCTCAATTGTTTGTAGACCACAAAGGAAAATATTGGGATGTCCCTCAGTCTTTATCTGTTGATATGTCATCCCTTTTGTCTCCATTTGGATTGCGATACCGCATTGGGATACATAAAAACGGTGGTAATCCCCAGCAAGTGAATGCAACTGATGCTAACCCGCCATTGTCACTGCTACCAGGGTTATGTGTGAAGGCTGCCATTAGTTATGAGAAGATCAAATACTTCTGGCGAGATAAGGTTGCTGTGGAAGAAGGGAATGAAGAGATGACTCCATATGATGTGCGTCTTGGGGAGCCTCACTCAGCAGTGTTTGGAACAATTGGTAATCTCTCTAGACTGTTTGAGATTAGAATAATTATGTTTTATGTTAGACACTCTTTTTCATTTTTCTGGTATGCTTTTTACAAGTTTCTTCATAATTGCTTAATGCATAAAACATCTTTATTTTTCATTTTGTTGAAATGTTATGATGTGATGCAAAAGTTACTCCTCTGAGTTCATTTTATTATACGAGCAAAATTCAAAGATGTTGGGAACAAGTGCTTTGCTTGCTCAAGTTACAAATTTCTGTTCAAATAGACAGTTTTCATATATGGATGTGAATCAATTCGAGGAATTCTTGCTGGATTATATAAATTTCCCTCGGTTAATTGATTTCCTTAAGAAAAATTTTCATCAATTGATGGATGAGGATGATAGTGTAACAACCATAAGGCTAAGAGGGGAACCATCCCTCAAAAGCTAGCTCAAGAGGTTGGAAAACCTCTTACCTTATAAGGTCTCCCTGGTAAAGAGACCTCCCCAATGTCGGACTTGTTACAATACCACCCCGTTCGAAAGCCAGCATCCTCGATGGTTGCACTCCACGACACTTCACTCACTGGCACTTTACTCGGCCTTCTTACCGGTCAGAACCCTCTAGTGATCAGAACCCTCCGTGGGTAGCCCTTCTCGAGTTGGCTGGCTCTCAATGAAAGCACCAAATACAACAATCAAGCCTCAATAGACAAATTCAATCAAACAGTAACCTCAAACCAAGAGCCCCAAATATTAAAACTGAATAATGGATAACTCTGCATTTTATTTCTGCATTCAATATCTCAGGAATCAACAGTTCAAATTAGAATCAACCATACAAGAAACTCAAATCTCTAGGCATCCGTAAATATTAGAATCTGCTCCTCTTCAATGTCATACCCGCAATGGAGCATATGAGTTTGGTGACTAAGAGGATACAGTAAAACAGAGACAAAAATGAGATTGTCCAGAGAATGTTCAGAGAGAGTATTATCAGAGGGAAGGATTTTCATACCGCATAAAAATTATCCTCCTTTACACGTAGTCCTTCCATTTAATATTTTCTTTCCTGGTTCTACCACTTTTGTGCACGTCCTTCACCTTTTCATCTGTTGACGTGTGGTCATTACTAATAACAACTTCACTCACCTCATTGTTTGTTACAGATAGCTGTATAGAAAATTTTTGGCAATGATATTATACTTGAATTGTTTTGTTATTGCTTCATAATATGCATTGTAGGTAGCACCTTTGCTTCCTGGATCTGGAATGGAAGGAGCTTTTCTAGGACTAATTCAACAGAAGATTCAGAGGTGTCAACAAGCAAGAGATCTCGACATAATGCTGATTTGTTTGGCTCAGTTTGCTACACCTTTCAGCATGGAAAATTCACGAAAAAATATGGGGACTTAACCAGGGTAGATGCTCGTCTGGATATTTCTTCAGCTTCAGCATTAGCAAAGAAGTTTCTGAATGGTTCCAGGAGTTCAACTACTGATGTTAGCGAACAATCATCAGCTTCACCCAGGCTAAACTTAATCTTTCAACAGCAGGTGAATTTTTTCATTCTTGATAGTTTCAACTGCAAAGCATGTTAATTTAGGATATGTTTAGACAAAGTTTTCCATAAATACTTGTAGGAGAGAAAAAAAAAACTTGAAATTAATTTCGGCGGAAACTAAAATTCATTTATGTATAAACTAATTTATAAAAGCTCTCTCGTATAATTTATCTAAATTTTTCTTTTGACCTTGTGCATAATCTAATTTTAGTTTAGGGCAAAACTCGTTTTATTTTCCTCTTATTTTTCTGTCTTATTAGTGTTTATGGAAAAGTTTGACAAAAACAGACTCTTAATAGGAAGAGTACTATAATAACTCAACTCTGTATATTAATATCATTTTCAATAACTATCAATTTTGTTATTGTTATTTCATTAAAAATCTATATTAAATTATAAAGAAGTTGGAAAATGAAAACTAGTGTTCTAGGTTGCTAGATCAATTGTACTTCATGTTATTGAAAGTCTAACATAAGATTGTAGTGTTTTTTTCAAAGTCTTGTTGTATATGTATGTTGCATAACTTATCATACATTTGTTTTAAGTTCTATGCTTTCATTTATTTTTCCATTTATTTATGGTAAGAAATTTTCTTCAATGTGAGGGAGTATAGGGAGTATGATGAAATCTATATTGATTTGAGATATAATAATATTGTAGTATATAAGTGAGGACAATTATGATCTTACTGAGCTGATTTTATAAGATTGAGTTAAATATTTCATAATTTTTAAGAATTTATGTTAAATAAGAATTAAAGTCCAACATCTAGCCTTTTCTGAAAATTTTCAAATTTAATTGATTTTTATTCACCGGCTTTGATTGGAGAACTTTGCTGGCCACTTTTAGTAGGGTTGCCCTTCACAACCTCATGACTCAAGTAGAGATCTTGCTTAAGAGAACTGAGTTCAATATTATTCAGACCACTGATTTTTGGTACATCTTGGCAATACAATTCTATTATGCAACCATTATGTTTTGGATCACCCCCATGACTGTGGTAAAGATGTATGAATAAAAATAAAATAAAATTTGTTTAATTGTCCACTTGTAGGTTGCAGGGCCAGTTGTTTTTCGAGCAGATTCCCGAATTTCACTGGAGTCTTTCGCCAGGGAAAAGGGTTTGCCGGTGGAGGATTTCATTTGCAGCCTGAGTTACTCATTGAAGTCTTTTCAGTCTGGAAAGGTGGTTGCATGGTATTCTCCAAAAAGGAAAGAGGGAATGGTTGAGTTGAGAATGTATGAGTTTTAGCAGAGTGCAACCCTCACCTTTGGGTAGCACTCATTCATGCATAGATAGATAACCCTTTTAATGCAAGAAGCCCAACATGGTTGCTTTGAAAGGTGTATTTATATAATAACATTTGATCTTTGATTACATGTTGCATGCGTCATATGATCTACTGAAACTCGGCATCATGGATTTTGCAATGACAAAAGGGTTAGATAGTTGCTTTGTTTCCTTATTCATTTTTGGCATTAGTTGTAGCAAAACAAGGTACATTTGACATTCAAATTCAAATGAGAATCAAAATAGCCCTCTTGGGACATGGTGGATTTCAGTGAATTGTACAATGGCTCGCACATTGTTGAGAAAAATCATGTTCTTGAAAATTGGACTAAACTAGTATTGATTATTTAATTGAGAATGTCTGTAATTGGTTTTAACTCTAAAAAATCAGACTGTCACATAATAGGTAAAAATCAATGTAAAACAAAGAACTGGTTTGAACTTATATTTTTCAATTTGTTAAAAAATAATTTAAATTTAGTTCAAAATATTTTTGAAACGAATGAAACACATTTAACAAAGTTTATGAATTAGAATAGATTATGTTATCAAATATAATTAATAAAATATAAAGTTTTAATAAAGAAAATATAAATAGAACATTGAATTAAAATAAAGGAAAACTAATAAATACTATAGAAGACAGTAATTTTAAGATTACATAACATACAAATAATAAAATTATTGAATTACACAATATAAGCTTATATAATTGTAACAAAATTGTATGACTTTAGATTGATTCTGATTCAACATGCTAAAATCTGGTATCCTATTTGAACTCATCATATTTATAATGGTAAAATTTGAAGATGAACCGATGCAAACTAAATTATGGTAAAGTGATTATTTATTGCTTGTACTTAAAAACTTCATTTTACGGATTATCCGTTTGAGAGAAAAAACACTTGTGAAAAAATAAAATAAAAAGTATACTTAACCGTTTGAAAAAAATATGAATTTTTTAAAATAAATAAATAACTATATTAAAATTAAACATTTTATTGAAAAATTATTAAACGAAAATAACTTTGTAAATTAGTATATATTTATTTAAATAAAGATAATTTTATAAAATAATACATTTTTTTCTCGTTTATAAATAAAATAAAAACATATACATTAGCGAAAAAAATTACCAAATAAAAAAAATACTTAATTTTCATTTATTTTCCAGTATTAATCACTTTTTACTTTCAACTTTGCCTGTAAACAAATAGAACCTAAAAGAGTTGGCTAAAGTTTCTAATATTCTTCCCAAGAACTTTCAGTCTTTTGAAGATGGATTATTTTGTTGAGTGAAGGAAAGTTAAGACAAAGACAATCGTGGGAAGAAAAGCATGGTTTTGTATAGGACAACATTAATAAGAATTTCTTTTTTTCTAAAACTTACAAAAAAGTTATTATCGTCCTAATTTGATTTGAGATATTATCTCCGACAATTTGAAAGCATACCCTCTTAATTGAGCATGCATTCTGAAGTTTCCAGGATTGTAAAATTCTTTCTAAATTCATTTAATTTCATGATAATTATGACCTTTTCATTCACACGTACATTCAGTTCTATAACTTCCAAGTGAGTTTACTCAAAACAAGTTTCATGTATTTGAATAGGTAACAATTAATTCAAACTCACTGTGTAACAATTTCTCAATAGTTTATTAGCGATATTGGATTAAACTAGAACTTTAAAAAGAAAAAAACTAGAACGAAGTTAAGAAAAAGAAAAAATAAGCGAGAGCATAAATTTATGAGTAGTGTTTTGATTCAGAAACTACCTAGGAAAAGCATCAAGTTATTATAACATAAAAGGGATATAAAATTTTAACAACAATGAATGAAAATGGTTTATTCTAATAAAAATACATTTATCTAAGAGATAGTGCAACCTTTTTGCTCCGCACAGAGACCAAACCCTACTCAACCACAGCCAACAAGTCACTTGCTTTACAGAAGCAGTGCTTTGCATCAGTCCCCAAATCCACCTGATAAATTATGATGACAAAAGCATTTGATTAGTAATAATATTTAAATGCTTAATGCTTTGCACCACAATTTTGCTTCTTCTCTAGTGACCAAAAACATATTCACATGGTCAATCATGCAGTATTTAAACAAGATATAATTCATCAATGCAATCACTACTATGACAAGAAACACCAATTTGTAACTGGAAACAACAGTATAAGGGGTCAACAACAAAATAGCATTTGTGCAATTCTCGGCCACCCCATATTTAAAGCATGCAGGACACTAAAAACAACTTTTTTACAGTTAATATTACAGATTAGAATACTATTAGATACATTACACTACTATATATAATTATAGAGCAAAAAATTCAAAGTCCCTTACCTCATAAGCACTCATGTCAGTGAATAGTACCTGCAAAAGAAAAAATAGAGTTTACATTTGGAACAAAACTTGGACTTGAACTTTAATTCTGTATGAGGAGATGATATTCATAATTTCATCGAAAATATACCCTACTTTGGATAGTAAATATATGATAATTTATCATTTTCACTTGAAATCTGGTCTCATCTGTCCTTAGGTCATTTAGCTAGGATTTGATTCCTTTTATGTTTCTTCCTTTTTGATAATGTACTGTAGAGTATGTGTATAAATTCAGCTGCTGTTGTTCTCAGTCAGATAATTCATAAATCGGTCTGCGCATTAAAAAGTTGATAGCAAAGCCTAAATATGATCAAGTGACTTTAGTTTGGTCCTTGACAAACCACAAAGTGAAGCCTATAGAGCATGCTAGATATTAAAAGATTCACCTAAAAACTACAGCTGAGATTTTCTTAAATTTTCCTACCTTTTTTTCACTATTACAATGACCTCATAAGTCTCAAAAATGTATTTAAAAAAAAAAAAAAAAAAAAACTCAGGTATGCCAATATAATTTACTCTATTTTTTATTATCCTTTTGTTTTTTGCCCATTTCTTCGGGTAATTAAACCCATACCTTTGTTCCAGCCTTTAGTTCACCAGCGTCAGCACCAACATTTAGGATCTGAAACAGATATAAAAGAAAAAAAACCATATTATATCCAAAACAAATAAAATTATCCATGAGAACATTTACAGAACCAAAATATCAAAGGCATCTATATCTGCTTACTTCTCCCACAAGATATCGCTCAAACTTCACAGCTGATTTGGGCAGCAAAACTCCCCCTGCTGTTCTCTACACCCAAAAAACATATTCAGAAATCAGTTATGCATCATGGTAAAAGTACTGTGTACCATACTTTCTTAATTGTCAGCTTCAGAACAACTTATTCTAATCTAACCATATAACAAACTTTTACAAACCAGTATCCTGAAGTACATCAAATTAATTCATAATACGACAGACAAAGCAACCAACTAGTTATAATATGATAGGTAATTATCAACTAGCAAATAGATTATGATCAAATATATAAAAATGTATTTATATAATTTGAATATAGAAGACAAAACATGTATTCTAGCAAAGGAATCACCGGAACCCACCCACAGCCTATTCCCCTAATTTTCCCCTTTCTTCCTCACGTACTTCTCAATAAGTACCTTCTCCCTCCCTCACACTCTACCAACGAGGCCAAGTTAGTTAAAAAATATTCCCTCCTTTCCCTCTCTCCTCAAGGCCTACCCCCAATTTAGACCTTCCAGAATATACTTTGGCAAATTTGTTGGGCCCCTTCACGACATTCTCACTCATATTTGCATCATAATCATACATCAGGTATTATTTTGCCCATCACCATATCAGTCATGCTACCCATTTGATGAAACTACATCAGTTTCTGAAAATATACAGTCAACAGATAACTAGAATTTCGTCAATGGCATCAGATATAGGGGGGCTGCAGAAGAGTTCACAGTCTCACCATCAGCAAAACATTCTTACAAAACTTAAAGCATAGTTAAGAGACAAAATATAATGTCAATGATGAGTGTGACAGCATATTAGAGAAAGCATCCTTTCATACCAACTAATGGTTGAAGAACACAGTCAACATTATAGTGGACAACCAGAAACTCAATCGATATAAGCGAACTTTAAAAAGAACTCTTGGTTATCTAGTGAACCTTAAATACCTTAAAATTTAAGGTATATTCAAAAACACTTGGAAAAAATCTACTAAACAATAAATTTCGTGCTCAGAACTAATACTTAGCAGCATGGTAGTCTGTCATTTTACAATGACACGTATGGAGTATCCATCATCAAATTACGTCACCTACATGGCATCGAAACACCACATTACCGTATCTTAAATACATTTAGAGCACATTCTATACCTTCTACCAACATTCAAATAAGGACCATTATAACTAGAAACATGCTAGCAATGCCAAATCTCCAAGATTTAAGGCACCAAATGGGAGAATAACCAATAGTTGGAATCTAATACAAAAATTAAGAATAAACAGCACAACACCCCACGTAAAAAGAGTTGGTTTTTGGATAAGTGCATTGCATACATCTGATGGATCCTCCAAACGAATAAGAACTCTATCAGCCTGAGGCACAACCTGCATCCCAAAACCGTAACTTAGAAAAATAAGAATTGAACTTTTACAAATTAAAATTCGAGACTGAAAAGGGAACAGTGGGGTGGTGTACACTACATAAACAAAACCACTTCCAAAAACCCTCTTCAGAAAATGAAAATAACCTTTGTAGGTTCCCATTTTTTAGCAATCGCATTGACCTTCAGTGAGCCCCTCTGCAAAACTGCATGAGACACAGATGAGAAAAGGTTAAGAGTTTCAGTAAGATGTTGAATTTGGTGGACAAAATTGAAGAGACATACATGAGGGTCTCTTGTTAGAGAAAGAGATGGCATTGGTTTTGTGTAGGAAGGGTGTTGGTACGGTGAGAAATGTTGATGCCATGGATAAGAGTGAAGGGACCAAACACCAGTTCGAAGCGGCAAAGAATGGATTAAGGAAAAAAGATTAAACCCTCTTAGGTTTATCTGTATGGTTGCTAGAGACCAATGAAACGACAAAGTGGGTGCCCCAAATATGTGTAGAATGTTTGAGAAAGTACTAGAATTTGTTACAAGGCAACTTTCATATAACAATTCAGATTTTGGTGGAATTAAAATTTAAAAGAAATAATTTGCATATTTTAGGTTGAGATTGGTGCAGAGAAAAATACAATTAGAAAGAATAAAATAATTTAGATAAGTAAAGTGAGAAAATAAAATAAAATTTGAAATTGACTGAAATCAGAAAAATATGAAATAAAGTTATTAACAGAAAAATAATTATTTGTTTATTTAGTTGAAAAGAAAATATTTTTTTCTTCAATAAACAATTATGTATATGAGATACCGACCAAAATACAATTAGTCACGTGTCTCATTTGAAAAATGATAAGTGATAATTATTTAATTTTGAAAACTTTAAAGTAGTTATTTTAAGTAGTTACTCGATTATTTTTTTATTAAATAATTCATTATTTTATTTGATGAAAGATAACATAATCATAAATAAAGTAAATGATGGTTTAATTACTTTTATATGATAGAGAACTAAATATTTTATAAAAAATAATAAAAAGGATTATGAAAAAGATAATTTAGTTTAATAGAAAAAATATTAATACTATTCTTGAATTTTAATTTATTTTTCATATATTTTTAAAATAATTTTTATAACTATATAAAATATCACTTTATTAATAAAATAACAATATTATATATATATATATATATATATTACATATTTTTAATTTTTAATTTTTATACATTTAAAATATACAACGTTTTGATTTGATTTTGGAGTAAATTACATTAAAAAAAAGTAAAAAATTATACATAATATCTTAAAAGTTATTTTACATTTGCAACCACAACCTCTAACATATCTACACATTCTTTTAATATATTTAAAATAATGAAGTGAGATTAATATTTCATTTAATTTAAAATCAAATCTTTAAAAATATCATTTAATTCTTATTAATAACCTTCTCCAGTATCCCTCTCAATTTCTATTTTCATTTCTATACGATTGAAAATTTTGCAGTTTTTATTAAGAAAATCATGTTACATCAAAATCTATTATCAAAATTCTAATGTTTTTAAGATAGAATTTGAGGGAGTGAAAACATTTTTAATTATTTTATTATAATTTTTTAATAAATTTATTATAATATATATATATATATATATATATATATATATTATATAATCAATTATCGGTAAGTACATAATTAAATGTGTAAAAAAAAAATCAACTTTCCTCCTTTTTTTTTTTCAAAGACAAAATTTTACCTCAATTTTTTAACTTTTTTATATTAAAATATGTGAAATCGTCGTATTTTTTCGTTCTTTTAATTTTTTATAGTTGAAAACAAACGTAGCTTAAGAAATATGAAATAATGAATAATCCAGTATCCTTTCCAAAAAAAAAAATAACTAGTTCTGTTAGATTTAGTCATCTCATAATTTTATCATGGACTTGTGTGTTTATCTTTCTGTCTTTATTTTCTTGTCTTTATTTTCCATTCATGCATAAGCTTATGAGGAGATGTCTAACCGATTTTGCCAAATAAATAACCCAATATGTCTTTATGAATCATGATGTTAAACAATTTAAGATATCTTATTATTACTATTTATTTTTTTGAATCATGATTGTGTTGGAAAATCTTTGGTCATTCTCGCCCTTATTTCGTACTTTCATTTTACTCCATATATTTGGTATTTTAATTCTTAGTTTTGTCAAATGTGAAAAGTTATAAGAAAAGAATCATAATAAATAATAATCTTAAAATATTTAAGAATCATATCAATCTTAATTTTATTTAAGGGTAATACAAGAATTTTATGTTATTTGTTGTGATTAAAATATTTTTGTTGTAATTTTCATTACTTTTATCTCATTCTTCCCTATAATTTTAATGTTTATTTTAAGTTTTTTTTTTTTTTGGACTTGGGCTTGGGTCATCATCTGTAATTTTTTATGTTTAGTTATGATCCACTCTTAGTAGTAGGCATGATTCTAGGTAGAATCTTTGGGTTACCTACAGAGCTCCTACGTGTAGTGTCTAAATAATAATCAGCCTAGGAGTCGCTCGAATGATGATATCTCTTGTTTCTGATAGGTAACCTTGGGGGTTTCTTCTAGAATCACGCCTACTACTAAGAGTGAATAATAACTAAGCATAAGGAATTATGGGTAAGGTCCCAAGCCTAAGGTAGAGAAAACTATAAAGAAACATTAGGGTTGTAGGGAAGGAGTGACTAAGACAAGAGTACTAAGAATTATAAGGGAGATATGTTAACCACAACATTGACGCCGTTTATGGGAAATAGGTAAAAACCATTTTTCTCACTACCCAAAGTGTAGAAGTCATGCACAACACACGAGCAAACTCCTAGCCAATGGGGGGAAGATAACAGTCTCACAATACAAAGGATGATGTCCATGTTAGAGCAGTTGTAAAAGTAGAACGAAAAAGTCCGACTAAAGGTCGAAAAGAATGAGGAGCTTTAGTTGAGCCTCAATGTCTATTAGCAGGGAGGGGAGGGGAGAGTCAGTGGACCCTCCACCGCCGATAGAGGAGTTTCAACCATTCACCTCAATCATCATGAGTGAGCCGATTCCCGCTCATTACCTTGTGCCCAAGATCAATCCCTTTGATGGGATGAGTGACCTGGTGACCTACTTGAAAACTTTTTGGGCCTAAATGTTAATCAGTGGAGGGTCTGATGGGATACAATGTAAGATATTTGTAGGCATGCTCACTACAACGACTCTGGATTGGTTCAACAACTTGCCCAACGAGGTTATAACATTATTTGAGGAGTTATCGAATTTGTTTATGGCCCAGTTTGAGTGACCTTTTCGATATTAGGTAGCAAAGCACAAAATTGTTAAAGCAATACTTGAGGCACTTTTGTGAGGTAACCAAGAGTGCCTCAACTCGAAGAAGCAATGTTCATTTATGCTTTCGTGAAGGGATTGAGGTCAAGCCCCTTTGGCAAATCGCTGATTCAAAGACCCGCAACAATCATGTTAGAGGTCAGATCCTGAGTCACCTCTCACATCGAAGTAGAGGACATCATGAGTCAAAAAAGGGTGGAAGAAAAACAAACCTAGGAAAGACAAGACAATTGGAGGAAGATAGCATATATCAAGACACTGGCTGAAGACACAACGGTTCATACACTCGACATAAGGAAGGAAAGCGTCGCTTGCCGAAGGATATACACATTCCCTCTAACATGACGAATAGACAAATATTTAAAGATGTTAATATGACAAAGTTATTTTCCTACACTAAGAGGGTGGATCGGCCCTTAGGTCCTAATCGGGACTCATGGTGTGAGTATCACCGCACCTAGGGCTATGACACAAAGAAATGTTATGCTTTGATATAATAAATAGAAAAGATGATTAGTCAAGGATGTTTATGACCTTACACCAAACGAAACAAGGACGAAGGGTTCAAAAACCTAGAGCAAAGAGACAAAGGCAAGCACGAGAGACCCATACTCGAGGACTTTAACATCATCACTAGAGGTTTCGCAAGCAAGGGATCCATGAGCTCAGTCAAGAAATGATACACAAGAGTTGCCGTGAATTTGTGCCAGGTTTCCCATATGAGAGAACAACCACTGAATGATCGACACTCGATCACCTTTTTGGACAAAAATCTCGAAGGCATCATTCCTAGGACGACCTCGATGGTGATGATGAGTAGGAATGTTCATCGGGTGTTGATCGATCAGGGAAGCTCAAGCGACATAATGTATTGGAATACATTTGTAGGGCTTGGGATCCCAATGGACTCCTTAAAGCCTTTCGAGTGAATATTGATAGGCTTCTCAAGAGAACAAGTTGAGGTTTGGGGCTATATTAAGCTAAGGACAATGTTTTGGTCGGAGCATACTGACAAGACTATTACCGTAAAGTACTTAGTTGTCAAGACACCTTCATCCTGTAACATCCTTTCAGGAAGGCCTTCACTCAATTGGCTAGGTGAAATAGTTTCGACAATTCACTTAAAGGTAAAGTATCATATCGATAATGGCCTCGTCGGAATGATTTGCATTAATCAGCAGGTAGCTAGGCGTTAATACGAGAACAATCTGTACAACAAATGCATTTTTTAGGTTACTTATGTTGTTGAAAGTGACGAACTACCCGACATAAACCCTCGCGTATGGATGGAGGATCGGCGACCACAACTTGTGGATGCGTTAAAGAAGGTCATTTGGAAGGTAACAAAAAAATTAAAATTGGAAATGATCTAGATCTCGATTTAGAGCAAGAACTCATCACAGTACTTATGGAAAACATACGGGTATTTGCATGGGCTGCAGGTGACATTCCAGATATCAATCCCAATTTCTTGTATCATAAGCTCGTCATTGACCACAAAGTGAAGTCAATGATGTAGTAACAAGAAAATTTGGGATGGAGAAACATCAAGTAATTAAAGAGAAAATCTAAAAATTGCTAAATGTTAGTCACATCCACCAAATACAATACCTAACTTGACTGTCTAACATGGTGATGGTGAAGAAATCATCAAGAAAAATGACGAATGCACACATATTTCACAAAACTTAATAAGGTTTGTCCAAAGGATTCGTATCATCTCCCAAATATAGACAACCTCGTCGACGACGCATCTGGATATCAATTGTTAAGCTTCATGGACGCATATTCTATTTACAACCAGATATTCATGTACCCCATAGATGAGGACAAAACAACTTTGATGGTCGATTCAAATAAAATATTGTTATAAGGTGATGTCATTTGGACTTACAAATATGAGAACAACATATCAAAGACTGATAAACAAAATCCTCGATCTAATTCTAGGTAACAACATAGAGCTATATATGTGAATGATATAAAAGTGAAATCGACCATGCATTGGAACCACCAAATAACCTAAGATATTCAAAACCTCAATTATAACCTTAAACTAAACCAAAAAACAATGTATATTCGATATTATATGAGAAATTCCTAAATTAAAATATTTAAAAAGCATATCAATCTTAATTTTAATGTTTTTAATGTTGTTTTTTTATTTGTTAAAATCAAGATACAAGTACTTCGTCTTGTGTTTTAATGTTTTTTATTTATTTATTAAAATAATATTAATACTTTTCAAATTTATATATATAAAATAATTACATACCCTATAATATTATTAATAAAAAAATATTTTTTTATTTATATTTTTTATATCAGTTATATTTAAATAAAGCAATAAAGTAATCATACATTATTTATTTTATTTATTTTTATATTAAAACAATATTTCTTTAAAATATCATTTTTATATTTTTATAAAGCAAATTATAATTGAGGGATAATATATTTATAATCATTAATAAAATCATTATCCTATTTCGTTTAATTTTTTTTCAAATGATCCTATTTCTTTATTAATATAATTAATATAATTATAATTATTAATAAAGTGTTACTTACTCAATCTTGTTAAATGAAAACTTAATTATATATCAGATTGTCTCTAATTAAATTATATTTGTTTTAAAATATAAATTTTAAATTATATTTGTTTTAAAATATAAATTTTAGAAGAAATGGTCAATGTAATCCCTAATAATTATAATTTTTCCATAATTTCTTTGTAATCATGCTTTCAATTTTATGTAATGTCATTTACATTTTTTCTTATTTTTAGATTTCTTGGTGTTGTTTTTTTTCTACAATCAAATTCTCTCCGACCCAGCGATTCCATCTTACGATCTCGCGATGCTCCGCCGTGTGACCTCCTCCCTCCTCTCCAGCGCCTCCCGACGCCGCCTCTCCACTGAAGTGCCGGCGACACCAGCGGCGGACTTGAACTTCATGGAGGCGTGGAAGAAAGTGAGCCCGAATCTGGAGCCTCCGAAGACGCCGCTCTCGTTCATGAAGGCGCGGCCGCCCACTCCCTCGGCCCTCCCTTCCACTCACCGTCAACTTCGTCCTCCCCTACGCTTCCCAATTGTCCGCAAAAGAGGTCACCTCCTCCTTCTTCTTCAAATCTCTGGAGGCTTCTGCTTCGGTTTGTTTGTTACTGCATTTTGCACGTGCTGATCTGGGGATGAAGGTTTAGAGTGAACTAGGTTGGTCGTTGGGTTATTCGATGGAAATATTTATGTTTGATGGAAATGAATAGATTCTAAGCTATTTTGGTTACCTAGAGTGTGTTTGGGACAAATGTGAAAATTAGAATATTGTGTTTCCACAATAGCTTTGGGCTACCAGCCTTAGTTCGTACCAGGTCCAAGCATGCATCCATCAAACCTTTGTGGATGAAGGATTATCCCAAGGCCCATAAGCCAACCTTGACCAACTTTGTTATGTTTTTTCCTAGAAGGGACACACATCAGGCCATTTGCATGTAAAAAGTCTATTTAAATGTACTTCTCCGTTAGGTTTTATAAGAGAGAAAGATGTATAGAAAAAAATTAAATTGACTTTTTTATAAATAAAATTTTGAAGTCATGAAAGTTTATTTTAACATGGGAAGAAGTTTTCCTTTTTTTTTTTTTCAAAAGTTTTATGGAGAAGTTTGTCATAGACCCCTAGTAGTCTTTATTTGGTTGACATGAAAAGTGTGCCTGATAGCATTGGCATACGAAAAATAATCAAGTTATTGGTAGGTGAATTTAGGATTAATCCAATTCTACTCCTCATTTATATATATGCTACAATTTCACATATTTTTAAAAGTTATCCATGTTTAAAGGTGTTAGATATTGTTTAGATATTATTTGATATTGTTAAGATATTATTAGATATTGGTAATCACAATATCAAACAATATCTTCTGTTTATTCTGTTACTTTCAATTATTCTTTTAGTTGTATCTCTCTACTATAAATAGACCACTCTATGTGTGATTTATACACAATGGAAATTAATTCCAAACCTTATTTTCTCTATATTCAACATGGTATCTAGAGCTTAAGGTTATCTTGAATTTTTTTTTTCCGCTTTTTATCCACGGTTGGAGCCACCTCACCGCTGCTAGAGCCGCCCCACTGTTGCTGGTAAACTAATCCTCCACATCAGAAAAGAATTATCTTTGTTACTGAATTTTATTTGGTAGTGTGAAAGTGCATGTTTAGGAAAGTTCTGGCAAGGAAAGACTTGGTATTTAAGTGTGTCCATTAGTGACCCACCTCTCTTTCCTGAGAATTTACCTAGTGTACTAGTTCACGTTGCTGTCACTGCTGCCGGAGAATTCGTCGGAGTTTCATTTTTTTTTTTACCGGTGACATATGATTTTGCTTGTCTCGGTCAGGTGACCACCGTGCCATTGAGATCACCGCTATCGGAGTTGGTCGTCCTATTGTCTCCTGCGCCATTTAGCCTTGGCGAACTTATTTTTAGTATTCTCATTTTGGATTTGTGCTTCGTGGGTTAATTGGATTACTTTAGATTGTTTTAGGGTTTGTTCTCCCGCTTTTCATAACTTCTTCCACTATTTCCAATTTTGTTAACGATTCTTTTGTGTTGACATCTCATCGTGATGACCGGGCTCGTCCTCGTAAACAGGAAAAAGGGCGTCCTAAGTGTGAACATTATGGCAAGCTATGTCACAAGATTAACAAGTGTTATGCATTACATGGTCATCCTCCTCAATCTGCTGTAGTTGTTCACACCAATCTTTCCCCACCTTTATCTGCAGGGGATCTTTCTTCTTCTATTGCATCCGACATGCCTGTTATGTTCAACAAATTTCTCGAATGGTATAAGGATCAACAGTCTTCTAGTTCCACTATATCTGTCACACATACAAATACATATTTTGCTGGTCTGACCCAATCATTTTCTCCTGGTCCTTAGGTTTTTTATTCGGGAGCCACTGATCATATTACTGGTAACAAATCTTTGTTCTCCTCTTTATCCTCTCCTAATCATTTACCTTCTGTTACACTGGCTGATGGCTCTAGAGTATCATCTTATGGTGTTGGAACGGTTAAAATTTTTTCTTTATTAACCATTGATAATGTTCTTTATGTCCCTGGGTCTCCTTTTAACCTGTTGTCCATCAGTCGTCTAACTCGTTCTCTTGATTGTATTGTTATTTTTACCAATAATTCTGTGTGTTTACAAGATCGGAGTTCGAAACAGGTGATTGACACAGGATGTGAGTCTCATGGTCTTTATTATCTCCGTCCCTCTACACATGATAGTACAGTTATGGAGTCTCCCTCTCTTCTTCATGCTCAGTTAGGTAATCCAAGTCTTGCCAAGTTACAGAAACTTGTCACTTCCTTGTCCAACTTATCTAGTTTGGCGTGTGAGTCATGTCAATTAGGCAATCATAGTCGTACTTCCTTTCCTCTTAGTTTCACACATGGTGCTTCGTCCCCTTTTGTCGTGGTTCACTCTGACATTTGGGGACCTAGCCGCGTTAAGTCTACTTTAGGTTTTCAATACTTTGTTACTTTCATTGATGATTATTCCAGATGCACTTGGTTATTTTTGATGAAAAATCGTTCTGAATTATTTCATATCTTTCAAACTTTTTTTAATGAAATTCAAACTCAAATCGGTGTTTCTATTAGAGTTTTGCGTAGTGATAATGACCGTGAATATCTTTCTCATTCTTTTAAACAATTCATGGTTTCTCACGGTATTTTGCATCAAACTTCTTGTGCTTATACACCTCAACAAAATGGTATAGCTGAACGTAAAAATAGACATCTTATTGAAACAACTCGCACACTTTTAATTCATGGAGATGTTCCTCAACATTTTTGGGGTGATGCTCTTCTTACTGCATGTTATCTCATTAATCGCATGCCTTCTTCGGTTTTAGATAATAAAATACCTCATTCCATTTTATTCCCTCATGAACCACTTCGTCCTTTACCTCTGAAAGTTTTCGGGTCTACATGTTTTGTTCATAATTTCAGTTCTGGTCTTGACAAGCTTTCTCCTAGATCACATAAATGTGTTTTCTTAGGGTTTACAAGATCACAAAAAGGATACAAATGTTTTTCTCCTTCTCTTAACCGTTATTTTGTGTCAAAAGATGTTACCTTTGATGAGTTGTCTCTTTATTTTAAAAGTCAATTTTCACCTCTATCTCCATCCAATCTTGTTAACACTCCTAATACATTTAATGTTCATGTTGTTTGTGACCTTCTAACTGTGTCTTCTTCACCATTAGTTCCTGCTCCGCAGTCAGCTTCTTCTCCACTGCCTCTTCAGATTTATAGTTCTCGAAACCAATCACAACCACCACCATGTGACTCTACTCAAGTGCCAACTACTCTATCTCCTCCGGATCTGACCTCTATTATATTGCTTTGAGTTATCATCGACTGTCATTACCTTTTTATACATGTCTTTCCCCTATTTCTTCTGTGACCATTCCAAAAACTGTCCGTGAAGCTTTAGTCCATCCTGGTTGACGTCAGACCATGTTAGATGAACTAAGTGCTCTTCATAATAGTGGAACTTGGGAATTGGTCCCGTTACCGTCTGGGAAATCTGTTGTTGGTTGCAGGTGGGTGTTTGCTATCAAAGTTGGACCTGATGGTACTATTGATCGCCTCAAAGCTCGTCTTGTGGCCAAAGGTTATACTCAAATTTTTGGGTTGGATTATGGAGATACCTTTTCCCCTGTGGCAAAGATGGCTTTTGTTTGTTTATTTATCGCCATGGCTGCTCTTCAACAATGACCTCTTTATCAACTGGATGTTAAAAATGCTTTCCTCAATGGTGATTTGCAAGAAGAAATATATATGGAGCAACCTCCTAGGTTTATTGCTCAGGGGGAGTCTTCTGGGATGGTATGTCGTCTTCGCAAATCCCTATATGGCCTAAAACAGTCTCCTAGGGCTTGGTTTGGAAAGTTTAGCAAGGTTGTTCAACAATTTGGTATGACTCGGTGTAAATCAGATCATTCTGTCTTTTATCGACACTCGAGTGCTGGATGTGTTTACTTGATAGTATATGTTGATGACATCGTTCTTACAGGTAGTGACAACCATGACATCTCTCAGTTGAAACAACATCTCTGTCACCATTTTCAGACCAAAGATCTTGGCAAACTTAGATATTTCTTGGGTATTAAGGTGGCACAGTCCAATGATGGTATTGTTATATCTCAGAGGAAGTATGCCATAGATATTTTGGAGGAAATTGGGTTGATGAGTTCAAAGTCTGTTGATATACCCATGGATCCCAATACTAAACTTCTACCAAATCAGGGGGAGCCTATATCTGATCCTGAGCAAGTATAGAAGATTGGTTGGAAAATTGAATTATCTTACAGTTACTCGTCCCGACATTTCCTTTGCGATCGAGTGTGGTAAGTCAATTTCTTAATTCACCATATGAAGATCATTGGAATGCAGTCATTCGTATCTTGAAGTATATTAAAGGATCTCCTGGAAAAGGATTGTTATATGGTTCTAATAACCATACAAGAGTTGTTTGCTACTCAGATGTTGATTGGGCAGGATCTCCTTCGGATAGAAGATCTACATCTGGATATTGTGTCTCCATTGGTTGTAACTTGATCTCATGAAAAAGTAAGAAACAAAGTGTTGTGGTAAGATCCAGTGCGAAGCGAGAATATAGAGCTATGGCCTCAGCTTCCTGTGAACTTGTTTGGCTCAAACAATTGCTTAGAGAGTTACAATTTGGAGATGTCACTCAAATGACACTTGTGTGTGACAATCGAGTCGCTCTTCATATTAGTTCTAATCCTGTCTTTCATAAGAGGACCAAACACATTGAGATTGACTGTCATTTTATTCGAGAAAAGATTATGTCTGGAAATATCAAGACTGAGTTTGTTAACTCAAGTGATCAGTTAGCATATATTTTTACTAAATCTTTACGGGGTCCTAGAATTGATTATATTTATAACAAGCTTGACACATACGATTTATATGCTCCAGCTTGAGGGGGAGTGTTAGATATTGTTTAAATATTATTTGATATTGTTAAGATATTGTTAGATATTGGTAACCACAATATCAAACAATATCTTCTGTTTATTCTGTTACTTTCAGTTACTCTTTTAGTTGTATCTCTCTACTATAAATAGACCACCCTATGTGTGATTT